CTGGAGGAGATTATGCTAAGTGAAATAAGTCAAGCAGAGAAAGTCAATTATCATATGGTTTCACTTATTTGTGGAACTTAAGGAATAGCATGGAGGACACTAAAAGGAAGGGGAAAATGAAGCAGGGGAAATTGGAGGGAGAGATGAACCATGAGAGACTATGGACTTTAAGAAACAAACTGAGGGTAATAGAGGGGAGGGGGGATGGGGGCTGGGTTAGCCCGGTGATGGGTATTAAGAAGTGCACGTACTGCATGGAGCACTGGGTGTTATACAAAAACAATGAATCATGGATCACTACATCAAAAATTAATGATGATTATGGTGATTAACATAATAAAATTAAAAATAAAATAAATCTTTAAAAAATAAAAGCAAAAGTACTAAATATAGGTGTGAAATGAACAAGAGCAGATGATATCTGCAAGTAAATTTCCAATGGGCTGGTGCTACCCTCACTTTGAATCTTCCTGCATACCTGATGCCCCTTGTCTGTCCACAAGGACTGAGCACTCACGTAGCAGATTTTAAGATCACTCCCTGAAAACCAAAGACACCCAACACAGCATCTCTGGCAAAGATCTATACCACGTCCCAGAAGCACAGCACACTGGCCACAAAGGTGGGCTCCAGACCTCCTCCCGCGAGGCTTAGCACTCCCAGGAGTCCACACTGGAGCTGAACCTAGCACCACTACCACCAAGAGGCATTTAGAGACGGAAAGGCCTCCGCATTAGCTAAGCACCACCACGAGGAAAAGTCCAGCTCATGTGCTAACTGGGCCACCCTGGCTTCTGACACCCCCAAAGCTTCTCAAAACCTGATGCAATCTTAAGACAGAGATCTAATTCAGACAATCATTTCCAATCCTCTAATGCCTGCTAGCACTCTTAACTCCCTTCAGCAGAAAATCCCTAGGCCCTTTTTCAAAGAAAGGGCACAATGACCTGTTAGCACTTTTTGGTTGCACTGACAAATACATTTCTTTTCTGTTAAGAGTTTATATAGTAACACTTAGACTGTAAAACAAAAAATGAATGCCATAAATAGTTTAAAAAAAAAAACTTCCTTCCTCAAAGATTCTCTAGTTCACAAGACACAGGAAATATTTTTGCGCTTCAGTATCTTTTTTACTCAGTATTAAAAGCCACACAGATCATCTACAAAAGAGTGAGCATTTAACTAATGTTTTAATTTTGCCAAGTCCTAAATAAAGGGGGTGATGGGTGGGAAAAGCAATTTCAGCAATTTAAACAGCATTCATACAAGGACTACTGGTAAACAGCATTTTAAAACCCCCAAAGAATGTGAAGCTGTTAATAAAGCCAAGGATTACATTTCTGATTATAGATGTAATATTTTCATGGGACAAATTTTTAGCCAACCATTGAGCATTAAATCTCTACACAGAGCACTCTGTCAAGTAGGATCAGTCACAGATGCAGCAATTTTCACGCAGGCACCAGGAACAGAACTGGCACCTTTGGCAGGCTAAGTGGACCCTCTGACCAAGCATCACAAGGCACCATGGAGTTCTTGCTCAGTATTTTTACTGAAGCCAGATTTCGGTACTGTGTGCCTACAGAGGCCCCCTTCACAGACTCAGTATTCCTGTGAGTGGAGATGAACGGCAGACAAGCAAATGGAAAGTATGGATGATGGTAACTGCTTTGGGGGAAATGAAGCAGGCATTGGGGTGGAGGTAACATCCTACAGGCCTGACAGTGTGGATACGACAGGGCCAGGTGTGCATTTTGAAACGCGAACTTTAACAGCAGCGTGGGAAGAGACGGAGGGGAGGGTAATGCAGCATCTCTGGCAAAGATCCACACCACGTCCCGGAAGCACGGCACACTGGCCACAAAGGTGGGCTCCAGACTTCCTACTCGGAGGCTTAGCACTCCCTGCAGCCTACAATGGAGCAAACCTAGCACCACTACCAGTCCATGTGTGAAAATCACCTACATGTGTGCTGGGTATGGAGAAAAGGGTCAAACAATCTAAACGGCTGTTAACATCAGTGGCCCCAAGGGAGGTGAAAGTACCGGCAAGACTGACTTCTACAGACATCCGTGGGAGGTACACTTATTACTAGAAGTAGGCACGATATTAATAATTTGAAATGTCCAATAACAAATTCAATGAAGAAACAGCGATTGGAACAAATGTAAAAGTCAGAGAAAGAGGTTATCTCCTCAGAAGAGCAGAGAAGAAAACAGAAACCTGACAAGGCATTAGGAATCAAAGAAGGCAAGAGGGGGTGAAACTCCAACTGGGAAACAAAGTTTGGCTGCAGGTAGGGAAGAGGCAGTCAGGCGCTCCCGTATGCTGTGACACGCTGTGCTCATTTGCTAGGAGAAAAGAGGTCAGGAGTTTCGTGGACAGTACAAAGAGTAGAGAAACACTAGTGAGCTTCTAAGTGAGACGTCCTACAGTGCCAGGCAGCACTGGGGGTCCATTTGAAATTGGGGCTGCAGTCTAAGGAGAAAGCCAACAGGCTATGTCCAGGCTCCCTGCAGCAGGGTCTGGTGCTCGGGGGCAGGGAGGGATAGCACAGAATTGGCAAGGAGTGTCACGGACAGGATGCACCAAGCTGGACCAAACGGAGGAAATATGGGCCAGTGGCTTGGCATGTAGAAAGGAAGAGCCACAAAGGCAGAACTTGTCCCACTCAATGATAGAACCCCAGAGTTAGAACAACGCTTGGTACAGAATCAATATTCACAGCCGACACCCAGTAAATATTTACTGCAAGAAGAAAATGGAAGTCCTGATAATGTTAAAAATAGCTAAAACTACAGTAGCTAAAGAAAAAACTATGAGAAATAGAAGACTTGTGTCAGAACAGGAAAGAAAACATCTTCATTCTTAGGTTTTTAGGCATAAAAAGAATTTGAGGAACTGCCTGTACACTAGCTCCCCCTTATCCGTGGGAGAGACATTCCAAGACCCCCAATAGATGCCTGAAACCACAGACATACCGACAATTCTACCAAACCAAACATACGTGTTTTCACCTATGCATACATACCTGTGATAAAGTCTAATTTACGAATTAGGCACAGCAAGAGATTAACAACAGTAACGAATGAATAATAAACTAGAATAAGTATAACAATACACCACAATGAAAGTTGTGTGAATATGGTCTCTCTCTCTCTCTCAAAATGTCTTACTGCCCTGTGCTCATCCTTCTTCTTGTGATGATGTAAGGTGATCAAAAGCCCCCATGAGGAGATGCAGGAGGTGAGAGACGTGGGTGTGTGATGCAGCAAAAGGCTACTACTGACCTTCTGATGATACACCAGAAGGAGGGCCATGTGCTTCCAGAATGGCCGACTGCATGTTTAACTGAAGCTGCAGAAAGCGAAACCCCAGGTAACAGGGGACCACTATACTTTGGTAAACACTCATTTATTAGGTTAGCATGCAAGAAAAGAGTTTTAAAGAACTACCATCCTCATAATTTTTTATTCAAACTACATAATTCTCAAGATTATTATACTCTACAGTCAAGAATGAGAAAGAAGGTGTTCCAAGATTTACTTCAGCTCAGTCGACTCCCCTCTCTTACTAAACGGGAAGAGGTGGTGCCAGACACGTAATATTCCATTTATCACTCAGTTACTACCCCATTTAATACTCACTGTGATATGATTGTAGATAAGCTGAGACCATCCAAAGAGATCTGCCAGCCGGTAAAATGCTGCCAACTTACACCGCAATAATTTCTCCCCTTTGTCATAGGCAATTGAATCAGATCCTCTCAGGTCATTCACAGGGGTCACCATACCAAGACCTGAAATAGAAAAGAAACAAACTCAAACACTTACTACTTCTTATGAAACTTAAAACAAGTAATAACAATTCTGAGATATTAATCTTCCACACCAGGTCATGAAGTCTCAAAAACTTCAGAGACTATCTCAAAAAGATCATGTTCCCCAACATTAATACAATTAAGCTAGAAATCAAGAACAAAACAGTAGCAAAATTTGTGGTATGCAATAAAGCAATGCTTTAGAAGAAAACTTCCAGTAGTAAACATATATATTAGAAGAGTTTTTTAAAAAATGATCTACGTTTCACCTTATGAAACTAAAAAAAAAAGCTAAATCCAAAAATAATAATTAAAAAAAGAAGAAGAAGAAGGATAAAAGGAGGTATCAATCAAACAGAAAAATAACTGGGGCGCCTGGGGGGCTCAGTTGTTAAGCGTCTGCCTTCAGCTCAGGTCATGGTCCCAGGGTCCTGGGATCCAGCCCCGCATCGGGCTCCCCACTCCGCAGGAAGCCTGCTTCTCCCTCTCCCACTCCCCCTGCTTGTGTTCCTGCTCTTGTTATCTCTCTGTCAAATAAATAAATAAAATCTTAAAAAAAAAGAAAAAAAAAAAAAACAGAAAAATAACAGAGGTGGGGTGCCTGGGTGGTGCTGTCGGTTAGGCATCAGACTCTTGGTTTAGGCTCAGGTCATGATCTCAGGGACATGGGATACAGCCCGCATCGGGCTCCACGCTCAGTGGGGGGGTCTGCTGGAGATTCCCTTTTCCTCTCCTTCTGCCCACCCCCCACACACATGCTCACGTTCTCTCTCTCAAAAATAAATAAATCTTTAAAAAAAGAAAAAGAATAGAGGAAAATGGATTTAATCTTGAGAGATTAAAAACAAAATAATGAGGGGCGCCTGGGTGGCTCAGTCGTTAAGCATCTGCCTTTGGCTCAGGTCATGGTCCCAGGGTCCTGGGATTGAGCCCCGCATTGGGCTCCCTGCTCTGCGGGAAGCCTGCTTCTCCCTCTCCCACTCCCCCTGCTTGTGTTCCCTCTCTTGCTGTGTCTCTCTTTGTCAAATAAATAAATAAAATCTTTTAAAAAAAATAAAAGAAAATAAATAAAAACAAAACAATGAAATAAAAAGAAATGATACATGAGGGGCGCCTGGGTGTCTCAGTTGTTAAGCATCTGCCTTCGGCTCAGGTCATGATCCCAGGGTCCTGGGATGGAGCGCCACATTGGGCTCCCTGTTCCACGGGAATCCTGCTTCTCCCTTTCCACCCCCACCCCCCCGGCTTGTGTTCCCTCTCTCACTGTCTCTCTCCCTCTCTCTGTCAAAATACATACAAAAAATCTTAAAAAAAAAAGAAACATGAAATGAAATAAAACAAAATAAAATACACCTCTAGGCAGACTCAACAAAACACGGCAGAGGTAGAAGTCACCAGTATGAAGCAATGGAGAGGGAACATCACTACACATCCTACAGATATTAAAAGAATATTAACAGGATAATATGAACAACTATACCAGAAAATGTTTTAACTTACACAAAACAGACAAAATCCTAGAAAGACACAAGCTACCAAAGCTCACTCCAGAAGAAACAGACATCCTGAATAGCCCTCTTTCCATTAAGCTGAATTTGCAGTTAAAAATGTTTCCATAAAGGGGCGCCTGGGTGGCTCAGTTGGTTAAGCGACTGCCTTCGGCTCAGGTCATGATCCTGGAGTCCCAGGATCGAGTCCCACATCGGGCTCCC